CGGTGGGCGGCCGCGCCTACCTGCTGCCCAACGCGGCGGCGGCGGCGGCGGTGGTGATCCGGTGCCCGGTGCGCCGGTTCCCGAGGGCGCGGGTGCGGTGGGAGAAGGACGGCCGCCGCCTGCAGCCCTCCTCCCAGCGCCGCCGCTGGGGCGTCACCAAGGCGGGCTCCCTGAAGATCCGCGGCCTGGCGGCCCCCGAGGACAGCGGCGTGTACAGCTGCGTGGCCGGCCCCGCGCGGGAGGCCCTGGTGCTCAAGTTCATCGGCGCCGACAACCGGCTACTCCGGGGCCCGGGGCCCGGGGAGCGCGCGGCGACGCACGAGCGCGCGGCGACGCACGAGCGCGCGGCGACGCACGAGCGAGCGGCGACGCACGAGCGCGCGGCGACGCACGAGCGCGCGGCGACGCACGAGCGCGCGGCGACGCACGAGCGCGCGGCGACGCACGAGCGCGCGGCGACGCACGAGCGCGCGGCGACGCACGAGCGCGCGGCGACGCACGAGCGCGCGGCGTTGCAGGCGTCGCAGGAGCGCGCGGCGTTGCAGGCGTCGCAGGAGCGCGCGGCGTTGCAGGCGTCGCAGGAACGCGCGGTGTCTACGGCGCAGGAGGGCGCCGCGACGTCGCAGGAGGGCGCCGCGACGTCGCAGGAGGGCGCCGCGACGTCGCAGGAGGGCGCCGCGACGTCGCAGGAGCGCGCCGCGACGTCGCAGGAGCGCGCCGCGACGTCGCAGGAGCGCGCGGCGTTGCAGGCGCAGGAGCGCGCCGCGACGTCGCAGGAGCGCGCGCGGGGACCCCCCGCCGCCGCGGGCCCCGGCCGATCCCCCGATCCTTTGGGGTCCACGCGGCAGCCCCTGAGGCGGCTGTGGAAGAGGCGCCATGAGCTGCTGGAGGCGGGCGGCGCCGAGGGGGGCCCGGGGCGCCATCATCAGCCGCTCCTCTGCGCCCTGCTGGGCCGCTGCCACCAGCCCAGGGCCTGGGGGGAGCGGACAGGGCAGCCGTCGGAAGCCGCGGAGAAACGGGGCGCCTACAGCCTGGACACGGCCCCCCGGTTCGACGACGACGACGACGTCGACGAGTTGATCCGGAACCTGAGCCGGCTGGTGGGCGACCCCCTGGCGTCCCCGGTCATCGTCCACCGGCTGGAGGCCGAGCTCGCCCAGGGGCAGCCGGCGGCCGCGCCCCCGGAGGAGGAGGAGGAGGAGGAGGGGAGAGGGGACCCCCCCGCGAGGCGTGCGCCCCAAAGCCCCGGGGGGACAGGCGCGGGCAGGCTGGCGCTCCAGGCGGAGAAGAAGGGACCGGAGCTGGTCCAGGCGACCGTCGGGAGCGCCGTGTACATCACCAACCGGACGGCGGCCGTCCGCCTGCGGTGCGGGCTGGGGCGCCCCGGCCGCGAGGGGGCGGCCTACGTCTGGACCAAGGACGGGAGGCCGCTGCAGCCCTCGGAGAAGTGAGTAAGGGGGACACCCGTTGCTTCTTCCTTTGGCGAGGCCCCCAGGCCAGGCATGCTTTCTGGGGGGGTGGGGGGAGGGTGTTTCTGTTAAAATGCACCCAGTGCCCCTGGCCGGTGTGGCTCAGTGGGTAGAGCGCTTCGGTCTGCGCACTGAAGGGTCCCTCGTTCGATTCCGGTCAAGGGCATGGATGGACCTTGGTGGCGTGCACATCCCTGGTGGGGGGTGTGCAGGAGGCAGCTGATGGATGTTTCTCTCTCATCGATGTTTCTAGCTCTCTATCCCTCTCCCTTCCTCTCTGTGAATAATCAATAAAATATATATTTAAAAAAATAAATAGCCCTAGCCAGCTTGGCTCAGGGGGACTGAAGGGTCCCAGGTTGGATTCCAGCCAAGGGCACATGCCTGGGTTGCGGGCTCCATCCCCAGTAAGGGGTGTGCAGGAGGCGGCCTATCAGTGAGTGGTTCTCTCTCATCATTGATGTTTCTATCTCTCACTCCTTCTGCCTGCCTCTCTGAAATCAATGAAGAAATATATCAATCCATCAATCAATCCATCAATAATGAAATACACTGAGTGGCCAGATTATTATGCGTTCAGAGATCATAATAATCTGGCCACTCAGTGTATATTTTTACTGATTTCAGAGAGGAAGAGAGAGGGAGAGAGAGATAGAAACATCCATGATGAGAGATGGTTCAGCTGCCTCCTGCACGCCCCCTCCTGGGGATTGAGCCCACAACCCAGGCACACGCCCTTGACTGGAATTGAAACTGGGATCCTTCAGTCTGCAGGCAGACACTCGAGCCACACCAGCTAGGGCTTGTTGGGTTTTTTAAAATATATTTTTATTGATGTTAGAGAAAAAAGAAAAGGGACAGAGAGAGAAACAGCCATGATGAGATACAATTATGGACCGGCTGCCTTCTGCACGCCCCACACTGGGATCGAACCCATAACACTGGGCATGTGCCCTGACTGGGAATCGAACCCTGACCTCCTGGCTCCTAGGTCGACCCTCAACCACTGAGCCACGCCCGCCGGGCCCTTTTGCAAACCCTTGTTCATGGATATTCCAGTTTTCTCCGATCTACGTTCAGATTCCCTCTTCTAAGAATGTGGTTCCAGCAGGATCCTTCACCCATCAGCAGGAGGCTCCACGGAGCCGTTTTTGGGGGTCCTTGCCCTTGGCTGGCTGTGATCCCCGGGCCATGACACCGGTCACTGACTCACTGACTCCCTCCTCCTCCTCCTCGCTGTCCCACAGGATCGTTCTGTCCCGAGCCGGGGTGCTGCAGATACGGAACCCCACGAGGAGAGACCAAGGGCTGTATGGGTGCTACGTGGCCACCCGGCTCGGTTCCGACGTGGGGAGCACCCATACATATCCCGTGCTGTTTGCAGGTAACGCCTGGCGCTGACGCCTGGGTCGCCTGGGGTTGGGTGTGTGTGTGTGTGTTTGTTTTCATATATTTTAGCTAGAGGCCCGGTGCATGAAATTCGTGCACTGTCCCTCAGCCCAGTCTGCACCCTCTCCAATCTGATCCCCTCGGGGGATGTCTGACTGCCGGTTTAGGCCCGATCCTCCACAGGGACATCCCTCTCACAATCCAGGACTGCTGGCTCCCAATTGCACGCCTGCCTGCCAGCCTGCTCACATGCTTAACCACTCCCCTGTCAGCCTTACAGACACCTAACTGCTCCCCTGCCAGCCCAATTGCCCTCATCTGCCCTCCCTGCTGGCCTGATCACCCCCAACTACCATCCCCTGCTGGTCACCCCAACTGCCCTCCCCTGCCAGCCTGATTGCTCCCAACTGCCCTCCCCTGCAGGCCTGATTGCCCCTAACTGCTCTCCCCTGCCAGCCATCTTTGATCACATGGGGGCGGCCATCTTATACGAGGCATGAGGGTCAATTTGCATATTACCTCTTTATTATATAGGATTGATTTCAGCGAGGAAGGGAGAGGGACAGAGCGAGAGAAACATTCATGATGAGAGAGGATCATGGATCAGCTGCTTCATGCTCGCCCTACTCTGGGGATAAAGCCTACAACCCAGGCATGTGCCCTTGACCCGGAATCAAACCATGACCTCCTGGTTCATAGGTCGACACTCAGCCACTGAGCTACGCCGGCCAGGCAAGAATTTGCATTATTCGCCGGGACCGGTTTGGCTCAATGGATAGAGCGTCGGCTTGGAGACTGAAAGGTCCTGGGTTCGATTCCGGTCAAGGGCATGTACCTTGGTTGCGGGCATATCCCCAGTAGGGGGTGTGCAAGAGGCAGCTGATCGATGACTCTCTCTCATCGGTGTTTCTAACTCTCTATCTCTCTCCCTTTCTCCCTATACAAAATCAATAAAATATATTTTTTTAAAAATTTTGCATTATTCAACTCATAGACCATTCTGATTGCTCCAGACTGCACGTTTTTTTTTGTTTTGTTTTGTTTTGTTTAGTATTTTCTTAGTTGATTTCAGGGAGGAAGGGAGAGGGAGAGAGTTAGAAAGGTCAATGATGAGAGAGCATCCTGGATCGGCTGCCTCCCGCACACCCCACACTGGGGATCAAGTCCACAAACTGGGCGCCTGTCCTTGAGCGGGAATCAAACTGACCTCCTGGTTCCTAGGTCGACGCTCATACCAGCATGCCGAGCCACGCCCACCGGGCTGGTCCTACTTTAAAAAAGAAATGATAATTTATTTATTGGTTTGAGAGGGAGAGAAAAACATTGATGTGTTGTTCTGTTTATTTTTAAATATATATATTTTATTGATTTTTTACAAAGAAGAAGGGAGAGATAGAGAGCCAGAAACGTCGATGAGAGAGAAACATCAACCAGCTGCCTCCTGCACACCCCCCCACCAGGGATGTGCCCGCAACCAAAGTCCATGCCCTTGACCGGAATCGAACCCGGGACCTTTCAGTCCGCAGACCGACGCTCTACCACTGAGCCAAACCGGTTTCGGCTCTGCTTATTTTTAAAAATATATTTCATTGTTTTTTTACAGAGAGGAAGGGAGAGGGAGAGTCAGAAACATCAATGGCAGAGAAACATCCATCAGCTGCCTCCTGTACACCTCTCACCTGGGGATGTGCCCACAACCAAGGTCCATGCGCTTGAATGGAACCGAACCTGGGACCCTTCAGTCTGCAGGCCGACGCTCTATCCACTGAGCCACACCGGTCGGGGCTGACCTATAGATTTTAAGGGGAAGAGAGGTAGCCCAAGAATGGTTGGGGTCACATTTCAGACAGACAGACACAAAGACACACAAACAAAGACACAGACAGACACACAGCCCTAACCAGTTTGTCTCAGTGGATAGAGCGTCGGCCTGCGGACTGCAGGGTCCCAGGTTCAATTCCGGTCAAGGGCATGGACGTTGGTTGCGGGCACATCCCCGGTGGGGGGCGTGCAGGAGGCGGCTGATGGATGTTTCTCTCCCATCGATGTTTCTGAGACTCTATCCCTCTCCCTTCCTCTCTGAAGCCAATAAAAATGATAAAAATAAAAAATAAATAAATAAAAAAGCCTGAGCTAACACGG